AGAATTTAACTCAATATGTTATTTGTAAATTGTTTAAAGTTTTTTGTTTTTAAACAAAAATATTAAGTTATTAAGAAAAATGAATAATTATTTTAGATTAAATATTCCAATGTCTGTTAAATGGACTTGTTTGGCTCTCACTAGTGCATTTGTTACAGTAGTGATACTTCATTATAAGAGAAAAAAATTTAACTCCAAAGTATTATTTTTTGAACCTATTGGCTATCGTCCAAATTACTCACTGTGTCCACAGATAATGAAAATTGTAAATTGCTTGTATTCGGCACAAAAATCTATAGATGTTTGTGTTTATACTATCTCTAGTGAACCACTAGCTGAAGCATTAGTAGATGCTCATAAACGTGGTATTTTGGTCAGAATAATAGTTAGTAATGGTATACTATTAAACACTAAAGAAGTTAGACTGTTTCGAAACAGCGGTATTAAAACAAAATACCAAATTTATGATGATGGCAGTAAAATGCATCACAAATTTGCGATAGTTGATTCTACTCAATTAATACATGGATCTATGAATTGGACTCATCAAGCTGCTTTTAATAATTGGGAAAGTGTTTTAATTACAAATTTACCTAGTATTGTAAATGGATTTAATGAAGGTTTTGAAAAAACATGGCTTACAATATCTTAAGCAATCACTAAATAAGTACTTATTTGTAATATTTTTAGTATATTCTAAATTAGTTCAAAATAATATTTTATGTATTTAATGTTGCAATTATTCATGAATATTAATTTCCCAATATTTTGTCACCTTAAATAAAATTATAGTTTATTTTAAGTTGTTTTAATGTTTTTGTATTTATTCATTATAATTGAAACTTTTGGAATAATTTAGTATAATCAAGTATAGAAACCATACTATGGACACTGAAGACTTTTTTTGTAAGTAACATACCACTATTTCTATAAGCTTATTACTCCTATTTTTAATGTTTTTGTAATTGTATATAATTTATTTCAGAGTATAAAATCCTTGTTTTTATTTACTTTTTTATATAAAAATGTTACATTAAAAAATATTGACCTATATTAATTTGAACTAACAGTCTATATAGGTTCAAAAAGTGTTACAAAAATAGTGGAGATAAAATTATAATCCTATATTTTTGTAAAATATAACTTGGATCATAATTTATTTTCATTTAATTCTTAGATTGTCTCAACTAGAATTATAATCTTGACCTATTACTAATGTATATAATACTAACAAGTGCATTGTTTAACTAGAGTATTACAGAATTGTTACTTTTTTTAGCTAATTTATTATAGAGAATATTATTGTCTTTTAAGAATTAAATATTTACTTAGTGTATATATTACATTAATTTAGTTCTAGTGCATATTTATAAATTTTCATTTTTATTATTATTTAGGGTAATATTTTTATGCAAAATTATTGCACAAAA